TAAAAATCACCTTTAAGAAAATGAAGGGTTTTTATGGTTTCACAACTTACATTTAAGTCTTTTACCCATTTTGAGTTTATTCTTGTGTATGGTGTAAGTTGGTGGTCTAGTTTCATTTTTTTACATGTATCTGCCCAATTTTCCCAGCACCATTTATTGAAGAGACTCTCTTGACTCCATTGTATGCTCTTGCCTCCTTTGTCAAATATTAATTGAGCATCATGGCTTGGGTCTATTTCTGGTTCCCTTGATCTATATGCCCTTGATCTATATGCCTGTTCTTATGACAGTACCAGGCTGTTTTGATTACGGTGGCTTTGTAGTATAACTTGAAATCTGGTATTGTGATTCCTCCAACTTTGTTTTTCTTTCTCAAAATTGCTGCAGCTATTCTGGGCCTTTTTTGATTCCATATAAATTTTTGGAGTATTTGTTCTAGCTCTGTGAAATATGCCATTGGTATTTTAACCTGCAGATTGCCTTGGGTACTATGGACATTTTAATGTTGATTCTACCAATCCATGAACATGGTATAATCTTCCACTTGTTTTTATCTTCTTCAATCTCTTTTTTCAATGTCCTGTAGTTTTCTGAGTATAGGTCTCTTGCCTCTTTGGTTAAGTTCATGCCTAAGTATCTTAATTTTTTTTGTTGCAATGGTAAATGGGATTGTTTCTCTTTCTGAGAATTCATTATTGGTGTATAAAAAAACCATCAATTTTTGGGTGTTGATTTTGTATCTTGCTACATTGCCAAATTCATCTATTAAATCTAGTTTTTTGGTGGAGTCTTTAGGGTTTTCTATGTACGTTATCATGTCATCTGTGAATAATGAGAGTTTTACTTCCTCCTTTCCAATTTGGATGCCTTAGAATCTATTACCCTTTGAGACAGCATGAAGGGATCTGGATAGTATCATGCGAAGTGAAGTAAGTCAGTCAGAGAAAGACAAGTATCATATGATTGCACTCATATGTGGAATCTAAGAAACAAAATAAACTGATAAACAGAGTGGATGGATCCAGAGACTCGAAGCATGGAACAGAGTGCGGAATCTCAGAGGGAAGGTAGGGGAGGGTGAGTGGGTGGGAGATAATCAACCAAAGACCTTGTATGCATATATGCATAACCTATGGACAGACAATAGGATGCTGAAGGCCTGTGGTGGGGGGAAGGGGAGCGCAGGGGCGGGCTGGAGGGGGTCAATGGGGGAAAGGAGAAAAAATAAAAATTAAGGGATTTTCCTGCCCCCACACATGCATATCCTTTCCCATTATCAACATCCCCTAACAGAGTGGTACAGTTGTTACAGTTGTTGTACCTACACTAACACATCATAATCACCCAAAGTCTATAGTGAGTTCGCTCTTGGTGGTGTTCATTCTGCAGGTTTTGACAAATGTATAGTGATATGTATTCACCATTATATTATCATACAGAATAGCTTCAATGCTCTAAAAATCTTCTGTGCTCTGCCTATTCATCCCTCTATCCTTCCTAACCCCCGATCTTTTTACTGTCTCTTTGCCATTTCTAGAAGGACATTCATATTGGCTTCTTTCACTTAGCAATGTACATTTAAGCTTCCTCCATGCTTTTTCATGGCTTGATAGCTCACTTCTAGTACAAATATTCCATTGTCTGCATATACCACAGTTTACTTATCTATTCACCTACTGAAGGACATTTTGATTGCTTCCAAGTTTTGGCAGTTATGGTATAGAACTGCTATAAAAATCTATGTGCAGGTTTTTGTGTTTACATTAAGTTTTTGAATCCTTTTGGCAAACACCAAGAAGCTTAATTGGTAGGTTGCATGCTTTTTTTTTTTTTTTTTTTTTTAGTACAGCTGTACAATTATTCAATACAGCTTTCCAGAATTTCTACTTCATTCCTTTTAAAATATCTCTGGATATCCTCAATTTTGTGATACATAGTTCTCATTTTCTTTCAGTTTTTTAAACATGGTCCTTAGCTCTTTGCACATATTTAAAATCACTGTTTTAAAGTCTATTCTGTCCCATTTGTCTGTCTATTCTTATAACAAACCAATCTTGATTACTACACTTTTATTGAAAACCATCTTTCAAGATTGTTTTGGTTATTTTAAATCCTTTTCACTTCCATATAAATTTTATAGTTTATCAATTTCACTGAAATCGTGATTATGTTGACTATATATCAATTCGGGAGAAATATTTTATATGCTGTCTAGTCCATAAATATGGTAACTTAATTTAAAAATAACTCTATACTCTAAATTAAAACATGTTTTTTATTGCGACTATAACACAGTGAGATAAAATGTATAGGTAAAACAAGCACCCATGGCTTAGTTCAAGAAGAGAACCCTGACAGCATCCCAGAAATTCTGTCTTGTGCCCATCCTTAATCATGGTGTCATTTCTCAACTAGATGCAGCCACTATCCGGATCTTTACAATAATCATGTTCTTGCTTTCTTCATAGATTTTACCATTTTTAACACTTTACATGAAAGACATCATATATAGGTATATATGTGTTTATTTTCCTCAAAGAATTTTTTTCACTGTATTTAGAATTCTCTAATGGCAGTTACACAATTCTAGCACAGTGAATGTATCATTCTCACTGTCTTCTAATTTTAAATGTTGCTTCCAAGAAGTCAGCTATTGGTTTAATGTCCTTTATCTCCAGTTACTTTTAAGACTTTTTCTATTGGTGTTATGCAATTTCAGTAGAAACTTTGATTATATCTAGTATTTTTTCCAACATTTTTAGTTGTATTCAGTAGGTGTGTTGGTCATGACATATTGGAAATGGGAATTTAAAAATTTAAAATTAGAATTTTACTTTACATAGTCCTCTATAAATTGCTTTAAAAAACTAATTTGCACCCTAGTCAGTTTTGCTCATTGGATAGAGCGTCGGCCTGCAGACCAAAAGGTCCCAGGTTCAATTCCGGTCAAGGGCATTGGATTGCAGGCTCCTCCCCAGCATAGGCCCTGGCTGGGGCTCCTGCAGGAGGCAACCAATCAATGTGTTTCTCTCACACTGATGTTTCTGTCTTTCCCTCTCTCTAAAAAAATCAATGGAAAAATATCCACAGGTGAGGATTAAAAAATAAATAAAATTAATTTGCTTTTTACATGTACTTATATATATTGTTTTTATGACTTCATAGTGTTATCATTGTAGGAAAATTCCAATTTACCAAATCTCTTATTTTGATTTTTATCCCTATAAATGCTACACAAACTGCTTTAGAGTTTTTCTTTACATGGAATAACGTAAGACACATATGAGGTCAATGCCACAAGTTAGGTGTCCCCACTCACAAACAAAAGAGAACTGGTGATTAACTTTGCTTCAGGGGACCTTCCTAGATGATAGGATTACAAAATTTCCTTGAAAATAAAACAAATGGGGTGACTGATGCTGCACTAATCCCATTTATTTACCCCCTTCAGATGTTCTCAACAGCGTGTCTAGGGAGATCACTGGCAATTTAAGAAATATGAGACTGTAAAAATATGATGGATGGCCATTTCAGCCCAGTTAGCTCCCCTACACTGAAAGCAGACTGTAATTACTGTGAGAGGTATATAAGAAATTGAATACAAAATTTTTTATATCATCAGAGGATTCTAATCAAAGTGTAAACTCAAAAATATTATTTGTCTGTTGTTCGTATAATTAAGGAGTGGTAAAAAATTCTTCCTGCCAGCTGGGAATCTATGAAATGATACTACAGACATTATGGCTTCTATTTTCAACTTCTAGTTTGACACAAGACACATATAATGATACTGTACTTTTCATAAAAAGATAGCATACTGTAACTTCAAATGAAGTTGATGCCCAACCTAGCCATTTTTAGAGTGGGAGAATATAGGTGCCATGCCATTAAAAAGAAAAAAAAGAAAAAAGAAAAAAAAAAAGCACCACTTCTTCACCTTAAAAAAGAAAAAAAAAGGGCATCAAAAGAAAAACCTGAGCTTCCAACATGAGGAAAGTGGCACTAACTGTAGACAACTGCTAATTGGCCAGTGCATCATCCTGCCTCTGTTATTACTGTTTATCTTTCATTTTAGGAAACATCCCATTTCCTAGAGAAGCTTTGACTAATATTAATTGTAGTCAAGCGTCTTATATAATCTGGTTACTATCAAGATTGTCTTTAGTAAGGTAGTTCCCTTTCCTCGAGTATCAAAGCAAAAACATAGTGGTTTTAAACATTGTTTGTGGTACTCTGAGATGATGCAAAATACATTCTATATCCTGTTTCCTACCAAAAACAGATGCAGATAATAGTAGTGCATTTTTTGTAACATAATCGTAAATAATCATGGGACAAAGTTATAAAAGGTCTTTCCCACAAAACATCCTTTTAAAACATTTAAAATCTGAATAAATAAGTGTCAACTTTATCAAATACTTCTCAGTCTCTTCATGTAGTCTACCACCTAAGTAATTCTGAATGCTGTGTATCCAACGTCTAATATAGGGTGTCCCAATAAAGTATACACAAAGTTTGAACAATTATAAAGGCATTGTTTATTAAACTATATTTCATTTTCAAAATTGAGCTATCAGCTATAATAAAGTGTGTAGACATTTTTTGGGGAACACCCTGTATATAGAAGTGAGACTCCAGATTAAAAATACATGGGGTATAACACTAAAATAACTAACTCATTCCCTGCTAGTAACTTCATTTGAAATATTGAAAAAGCAAATCTAGCTATAATGACTTGCATAAGTCAATTAGTCATTGTTAATGCACTCTAAAAACGGTGACAAATTGTCTAACTTGCCTTTGACATTTCTGTTATATCCTAGACACAAATGACAGTTTTTATTCTTTCTGCAAATGCTGGTAATGAACTCGCTGGTCACTTAGACAACAGCTCAGAGCCTCCCCACTCCACCATCACAGCAGTTCCACAGGACAGGCTGGTGGACGGGAGTGGAGTTTAAACCACCACCGCAAGTAACAATAAAATCACACAACACTCATTTCAGGAGATGAGAAGTTTACTTAGAAACTGCAAACATTTAGCAAAGATAAGACATAAACACTATTTTCCATATTCTACAGAAATACAGTAATGTATAGCTGGCTTGGTACATGGTGATCACATGATAAAAACAAATCTAATAGAAAAAAAAGGTTCATTCTACTTTTCTGCCATTTATCACAACTTAGTAAGTATACTAGTAAGTACTAGAAGACAGCTGCATAGGAAGATCAGAATCCTAGGGCTGTTTGTTAATACACATTATTGTATTGTAAGAATAATATAAAAATAAAATAGGTACAGATATACAATTAACATGCAATTTAAGCCATTATTTTGAAGAAACAGGACAGAATTTAGTGAACACATTGAAAAATGTGTTATTGATAACGTGTTGTTATAAGTAGCATATCATGGTATTTTACATGGCATGGAATTTCTTCCTCCTTATGTAATGCTTGGCAAACTGAAACAGGGCAAGTCTACTTCTAGAGCAAATATAAAATGATGAAGGAAAATGAGTGGATAATTGTATTAGATACTTTTCTAAATATACTAAATAAAGTACCAAAATTTCATGCCTACCTTACCATCTCCCCATTTAAAATAAAGTCATACTTTGTACCCTATGAGTCTGCACTGTCCAATATAGAAGCCCTTAGCCACATGCGGCTATTGGAGCACTTGAAATGTAGCTAGTCAGAACTGAGATGCACTCTGAGTACAAATGCTGAATTTAAAAAAAAAAAGGTAAAATATCTCAATAATTTTGAATATTGATTACATACTTACATGATAACATGCTTAATATATTGGATTAAATAAAAATATTAATTTCACCTTTTAAAAAATTAAAAATTACATATGTGGCTCACGTTTATTTCTATTGGACAGAGCTGATGTAGGCAATATCTAATTATGACATTAGTCTTAGAACTTAGCATACTTTAAACACTGAGGAGTACCGACTCCCAGAACACATAAGCACCCTGTGCACACACATTACTGCAGAATTTATTTTTATCCTTCTGCAAGGTATACAGTTCAAGTGTAAAAATAATTCATAAAACAACCTTAAAAGTGTCAATTATTATATGATGAGAACTGAAGGAAATTCCATAACTTTTTTAGAGGGTGGAGAAGGGCAGATTTTCTTAACAGCAGTGCAATCAGAATGAAGACAATTAGTATCTTTGGGAAAATAAACTAGCCAAACATTTATTTAATGCCCAGGATCTGACCTTGCACCACAGATCCTATATGTAACTTGTCTATTTAACCATAACCTGTAACAGAATCTTAACACAATATTGACTGCACCTTATTTAAATACTCCATTTTTGGAAAAAATATTCAAGCAATGTAAAATTAATATGCATGGTGAATGCTAATAGCAGAATATAGTATCTGAGAACTATCCCTTAAAGTCTCTCAGTGTTTAAGCAACTGCCTAGTGTTCAAGAGACTTGCATTTAAAAAAATTTAGAAGCTAACGAAAAAAAAATCATTGACCTTTCATCATTTTCTTCTTTCATTTTTTAGTTTTTATAATTGAGTGTATAAATATTTGGCATACTTATAATACCTCAACTTTTATCCTGTCCAACGTAAAAACAAGTTAATCTAGTGCACATTCCATTATTCCCCTAGGAACAACACACACCAAAACACAATACTGCCTGTGGTCACCCCAGTCAGAAGCCAGCCGCACAGTCAGGAACCTCTTCGGGAGCCGATACCCAATTACAACTATGCTACACACTCTGCTCCTCACAGCTCAGGCTGGAATGTTTAATTGTTTAAATCTGTTTCTAATTTCCACTGGAATTACAGAGCATTCCAAAAATGTTCTGAAAGCCACAATGAGCAGATTCTGAAGCTACTCTCTCATTCATAAAAATGTCTCCCTTATTTTAAAGATGTTCTGAGAAAAACAGCAAGCAATTATTTAATATCTTAACATTACCACTTTTAAGATATTGGAAAGCAACCAAGATTTAGGGAGAAATAAGCAGAATCTAAACCAGGTAATACTGGATATACCAACATAGACGCTGACTGCAGAAGACTACAGCAGTTCTCTCTAGAGTTCAGCAGCCCACGAAGACAACTGCATTTATTCTTGTGCTTTGCACAAACAACTACTTAAACTTTTCACATCCCCTAACTTCAGACCAATGTACATGAACAATAGTTTCATTACGTTACTAACGCCAACTTAAATAAGCCTGAAAATTCATGTCCAATGATGTAATTTTTCAGTTTCAAACATATATTACTCTACAAATATACTCCTCAGTGAAAGATGACAACAGTCTCCTTTCTGAAAGCTGTTCTTTTGATAGATCAATAAATGACTATTTATCGAGCACCTATGATGACTGCACTGTTTACTCCCATTCTTTAACCAATAAGAAAAAAAAGACCTGCTCCAATGCCAGATGACATTTGTGAGGAAGGATAATGTATGAGCACTTTTTATAGAATGCTGTATGAGTCAACATCTGGACGTGAAAAATTGTTCATCCCTATGACATTAAGAAACCTCAAATTTATTATTGATTACTTTATAAAGACAAAAACAGCCATCTGAAGTATGGTGCATAGTACTTTGAGGAAAATGACTGCTATACATAAAATTAAGGCTGATTCCCTAATGATATGGAAGAAAAGCCAGAAAATCATGGTTTGTGAGCAACCAAAGACTTAATAGCGTGTACACTAATATCTGATTAATTCTGGCAAATGGGTACTTGTGTTAGGGTCCCAACTTTGCTTGAGGGAGTTGGTCTAATAAAAAAAGTCTTTAAACAGGAGCACTGTAAGCAAATATGAAAATAAAAATCCTTAGATAAAATTCTTTGTAAAACCACGATATAAACTCAAGTTCCAAATCTCATTTAAATGTACATACATATATATGTATACACACATACATATATGCTTTCAAAGTACCTAAGTTTCATTTGCAATCTTTGCCTTGCATGTTTGAACCTGATTATGTATCTTATGCACTTTATTTCTCCTAAAACTAAAAATATGGACAATGGTGAGAAGACAGAGATAAGCTAGTTTCAATTTTCTGGCCTTTAACAATTCTGACCTGTTGTATTCCTACAAGGTACAGAGTACTATGCAATGTACTGAACATGTACAGGGTCAGCACAAAAACACTCTTTTAGGGAACCTGAAGTTTTAAGAAGCAAAATAGTTGTCAGTTGGTTTGAAAACAGTAATCGTTTCCTTCAATAGGATTTTCAAAAACTGAAAAGGTCCACTGAAACACCCCTATCTCTGTCAAACATGAAAAATAATTGTTTCCAGAGAAGACATGTGAGAACATTCATAATAGAGCCATAGGGACTGAAGCAGCACGATGAACAATGAGGCAGTCACGAAGCATCTACGTGCTACTGCACTGGTAGTGGTTCATAAAAAATACTATGTACACTAAAATTTCAAGAAGTAGTAATATATCTAGTATATTTTTGCCTTTTCTTTTTTGCCACTGAATATAAAATTTTGTCCTAAATTTACTAAATCTTCTACACCCTGAGGAATAATAGACTAATTAAAAAAAAAATGCCAGGGTTAGTTTTGTGGACCATATTATTGCCCCAAAGCACAAACTATATATATATATATATAGCGAATATTCTTGGAAGCACAAGGTTTCATGAGCAGACGAAGCTGCTGCTTTCTCTCTCTCTCTCTCTTTTTTTTCCTAGCAAAGAGTTTGGTTTTACAGCGTTAACATGGCCTGGAAAGTTGGGAGCCAAAGGCTTCCCTGATCACAGATCCCAACAGACACAATGGTTTTCTGTCTCAACTATGAACATGACAGATATTACTGGAATATGTTATTCAACAGTCCTCTGAAAAGCACTTTGGAATCCTTAGCTATCTATTTTTATAAAACTACAATTAAAAATTATTTGCTATTTTGAAATATGGAATTCCCATCCCTCCCCTTTCCATACCCAAAGTACATAAAATGCCACAATTGAAATTTCATCTCAGTATCTGCTTCTTTTCCTCTGATATCTGAAAGGATAAAGTTCCCATTTATTTTCCTTTCAACTATCTTAACATAGGCCTGGATTTGGGGGGTAATTCTTAAAAGTTCTTAAAGTGAGGCCAAAGATTCATTTAGGACAATCATATTGCATTTCTTTCAGCGGAGGGAGCCAGTTTCCCTTTGAACACAGGCTGTGTGGGTTCCAGGCTGATGTTTCATTATGCACATACCATACTTCAAATGTGATGCCTTCAACCCCCGCAGAAGAATGATTCTTCTTGGTAGGGTGCTTAAACATGATAACTAATGAAATGCAAACGAAATCATAACATCTGCTCATATCAGTATCTCATTAGATAAAATACTCCATGGGAACCATGCCTAGCAATTGGAATGAGTCACAATCAACAGTTTGATAAAACTTCTGTTCTCTGTTTTCTACCTAAACATTAGACTTAAATATAATCTTGCTCCCCACAAAAGTAAGAAAGGCACTCAGATTAACACAGTATGTATAGTTATTTTTTAAAAGACACTGTGTGACATTAAGTAGAATTCTCAGGGCTGATTTTTCCTGCTTACTGCCTTCATTACACTGAATTTGCCTAAGATCCCTGGGCCTCAATGCACTTCATTAAACAGGAGCCCGGGACAGAGTTCACCCAAGCACGGGAAGCAGCGGCACGTCTGTAAGGTGACAGCATTTGCAATGGTTCTATTTGAGAAATTTATTCAGAAGACAAAAAGGTCAATTGTTACAATGCTGTTCAAATTTTCCAGCATAATTTAAATATTTAAGTTTTAAAATACAATTTTCTAGTAACAAAATAACTAAGCTTACAAAAGCTTTATGGGAAAAAAAGATTATATGTTACTTCCTTTGTTAACTGAATCTTTAGCATCTTTTGTAATTCAGGGAACTGAGGTTGAGACAGATTATTGTACAAGTGGTAGTTGCACTCCCAAATTGTACTTAGCGCCTGTGTCAGATACCATCTGTGCTATATAAAATTACTAGACTGATAACTTATTCTCAACAATATTTAAAGTTCTCTTTACACACACACACACACACACACACACACACACACACACACTCAGTGTGTGTGTCCCAACAAGCATGAGCTGATATGACCTGAATATATCTACTAAATGACACACGGTCTACCCTCATATATGCTTTCCTACAAAATGCCACATACAAATCCAAGAACTTGTGTTTCCACATCTTGTTACATAAGCCCTTGTCTGAAAATTTAAGTGGCTTTTAGTGACATTCTGTATACATTTAGTCCTATTAATCATGAAGCCTTTAACTTAAAATTAGAACCGTACCATAAGAATAAGAAATATGACTGAAAGTCTGTGTCCATAGTTTCCAAAAAGGTAATAAAATGCTAAAACCTAGAAAAGAAAAAGGGAACACGAAGTATCAAATCCTTAAATTTAAAAAATGACTCACAGAGGTTTAAGAAATATCTAAAAGGTCCACAGTTCAAGTTTGGGAGGGGGAAAGGAGAAGTACAAAATGACTATCCATTCACTGGTACAGATCAACAAGTCTTTAAAATTAGAGAATTTCTTCAGATGCCCCTCAGTGGCTCTGGCTGTACTGGTAAGATTTTTCTGCAACATCATAACAGAAAATAGTGTTCTTAATGCAAGCAGGCTTCATTAGTCCTATGATTTTTTAGTATGTATTAAACTACAATTAATTGGTAATTACAGAACTATACTTCTTGGATGTATAAACAAAGCAGCTGTATAAAATTAACTTATTCAACATGCAATAGCTCCACTGAAGAATCATGAAGCTAGAATATATCATCCATTCACAGCCCATTGCTTTAATTCATTAATTTCTCAATCATAACTCACCCTATCACTCATGATCAATCTTTCCCCTCTTCAAACAGTTAATCATTCATTAATTGAATACATATTTATCAAACCTTCACAATGTGCAAGTAGAATTTGAAAACACCATATTATCAAAATAGGTATATTAAAAAAAGGTGGGTTAGTGGTGGTGATGAAGATCTTGACAATCTTATTGCTTTTTGCATGTCAGTAGTATACATGATCCACAGGATGTACTACGGCCTACTATTCTTCCAGTAAAAGTTTGATGAAATGTATGTCAACCTAAACCATCTTTTAACAATGACATATTTATACAAAGTAAGTGAAGACTAACAAATCCCAAAAAATAGACACATCCTTTCCACTGAATGAGCTCATTCAGTCAAAAAGATATTATGCTACAGCTAGTGAGTTTAGGTGTCGACCATTTAGGAAAAAAAATACAACCATATAGGACAATACCAGGTTTTTCTGTGAATGAACACTTAAAAATAAAATTTTTAGAAACAGCACACAAAAGTCATACAAACAGTACCCTCTGAATGTTTGTATTTTCACTCCTACTTAAAACTTTATTAGGAAGACGAGAGACCAAGATATTAAAGGACTGCATGGCTTCAGAAAGGGGTGGGTTAAGAGACTTAGATGAAGACAGTTAACAAGATGAGCAAGATACTCTGTGAAAGGTATAAAAAATGTGGCCCGGCCAGTGTGGCTCAGTGGTTGAATGTCAACCTTAGAACCAGGAGGTCATGGTTCAGTTCCCGGTCAGGGCACATGCCCAGGTTGCATTGCTCGGTTCTCAGTAGGGGGTATGCAGGAGGCAGCCAACGATTCTCTCTCATCATTGATGTTTCTCTCTCTCTCTTCCTCTCCCTTTCCTCTCTGAAATCAATAAAAATATATATTTTTTAAATGTGGAGCACTATAAAATTTAGCTGATGTTTCACAGGGTTTTTGTCTATATTCACGTCCTGAATACTCTAACATCAAAGCATTAAGAAGCCCTAATAGTTGGGATACTTAAAATGATGCTTAGAAAAAAGATAATACTGAGTGAGGCCAGAATTTGGCAACATGTATCAGTGGAATGGGCTGAATCTCCCATGTCATCTCTGTGTAATTTCCCCCTCAATCCCTGTAGATGCTGAAGATCACAAGTTAATGGTTTTATCCTTGAGGTATTTGATTCAAAATATGCCTTGTACACAAAGGGCCATGGAATTATGTTCATAATGACAATTATTTTTTCACTAAAATACTGTAAAAGCTACAAAAGGATAATTTTGCCCTAAGAGGTAAGAGCACCTTCTGTCTACAGCAACCAGGCTGGACAATTTTTCTAGTGTTCTTAAGTCTCAACATTTTGCCACTCAACAAAATCATGATGCACAAGTACAGGACTTATTCTTTTCCCTTACAGTAATATGTCTCATTGAATTCCAGAGTTTCCATAACAGTGAGATAAAGGAGGTCTTCCTTTCCCTACATCGTCTCTTTGCACCATGGGTGACCTAGCAAGTAAAAAAGGATAACAGACAAAGCATGGTGGCCACAATTGTTTCTGCCACGATGACTCACATTCTTTACATACACAGGGCAAGACAGCCTCCATCACTAGAGGAACTTTTAGAGGAGTAGTTCATATTCATATTTCATGTGTGCATGTGTTTAATGGAGTATGGAATTCATTGGAAATAGGGAAGAATATCTTCAGAATATGTTACTGAAATAACACAGATAAGGAAAAACAGACAAAGGTGAAAGTGACAAAAAATAAGGAACAAATTGGGACAACGAAGAGAAAGGTATGTGGAAATAAGGAACACAGACCACTTATGAATGGGAAATATAATAATATAATAATAGAAAATATAATAATGGAAAATAGACATTACCTGGTACTCCCCAAACTACCCCCTCGGCCCAACCAACCTGAAAAAAACAGCCCTTGTTATTGAAAAGATAAAATATAGCTATAAGGTGGATACTTTGGTACCTCATCCCTGATAAGTTTAGTATCAAAGTTTTTTAATTATTTTATTTTTTAAAATAAAGATTAAAGAATTAACCTTCAAAATTAGTCTGTCTCCCTGGCTTTTGCCAGTAAACTTTTAATAGTCATTGCATAAAAATTTTGTAGTTTATCCAGTGTATCCTCAATAACTTAAACTTTTAAAAAGGAAGATTTTTATGGATACATTTCTATGCATATTTCTCCCATTTTTTATGGTGAATTGGAAGGAAAATAAGCAGTAATAACTAAAAATGGCATTCCAGGTATTTTTTAAAAAATTGATTTTTATAAGCATTGATCTAAATGTTTTTGGCATATACCAAATTTGAGGTTAAAAACAATCTATCAAAACTAGTAATAAAAATAATTTTCCAGTACTGCAATTACATAAACTCTTAAAATTATTATTATTTTTTAAAATAACCATTTTAAAAATGGATTACATTGGAAGCATGTTTTTCATATAAGTTCCAACACTCTGACTTTGGTTATCTTGGTCTATAACTTGTAGAACATGTTAGAGAAAGAAATGGTTTATATTTTCACATAACCATCCATCTGGCCATTTGATTCTCAAAACAACAATTAGATTGAGTAATTTTGCATTTGTATTGTTTTTAAGCTTAACTACAACATACATTTTTAATTAAAAAAAAATTAGTCTATCCAGCAATTGCACCGAGGTGGGTGGAGGTATTGAACCAGCTAGGAGGACCAAATGAGAAGCCTAGAAACAGGCTTCTTTTAGAAATAAACAAGTATAGAAACAGAAAGGATGAGAAGTTTCAAAGAAGAAAATTAAGACTCACTGTTTAGCAGGAAAGAAGTACACAATTATTTTTGTCCCCAAAGGAATGCCAGTTCTTAACAAAATAAATAAAATGAAAGGTCTTTTTTGGACTTTTAACCTAAAGATGAAGAATATATGGTTAGCTAATAATAGCAGACAGTTCATGCAGCTATGTAAATAAGAAAGGAAAGCAATATTGCACTAAAATGGGAACCTTGCAGGAATAGTTCACCTTTTTCATTGACTCAACGTACCCAGCCATTTCCTATACGCATTGGCAAACCTGGCCTGCTCTACATTCCGGCAAGTGGACAATACTTGATCGATGAACCTGTGTTCCATTTCCAGGCCTACGGAATCGGGAGCTGGGGTCCGCTTTAGGCGTTTTGTTTCCTGGGAATAGCCTTGCTTGCTTGAGTCACTCAATCCATCCACTTCCATTGCCTGAGCCGTGCGAGGGCCTGTTGGGATGTGGTGCAAGTCACTTGAAGTCCCTACAGGGCTGTCTGCAGTTGACAACTGGGTCACACTGTGAGGAAAACTACCACTTAAGTGATGCTGAAGGTAGAAAACATGCCGCCTGTGAAAAGAGAGGGAGTGGGAGGGAATAGAGAAAAAAAGATCACATCGCAAGGTCAAGCTTTTCAAGGAAAACAAAAAACTAAGTTGATAATTTCAAAACATACAGTACTCAGTTCACTGCTCCATTCATAACCCAGACTTATCTGACAAAAGGAGGAATAATAGTTATGATGAAGTCTCTGGGTATTTTACTAGCCTTACAAATCCAGATTACCAGTTTGTGAGAAAGGTTTTTAAATAGCATTAACTGAGATGATAACTTGGATAATACTATCCAAGCTCTATTCTTTGTAAACTGTAATACAAAACCAAAATTAGGTCTTAGCCCAATCTCTGCAATAAATTAAAATACAAACCTTGTTGATATTCCAAAAGACAAGTGATTCTGAAACAAAGGGATTAAATAGCTCCTCTAGAGTTAATACTTTTCTTAATAAGAACAATCTACTGCAGTTGGTCTTATGTAGAAACCACGTGAGCTTCCCCTAAATACATCACTCAATCTCATTAAAAATCCACATGCATTAGGGATATGCTGGGCTCCGAGTGAAGTATGTTATAAGACACAGTTGCTATTCTTCCTCTAAGGAGAGCAGGTCTCCTGCCCTTAGAATCATGTGGATTTATTTGTTGAAAATGAAGATCCATGTGCCTAATCTCCAAAAATCTGACGCAGTGGGATGCACATCTACTCTACACAATATGGTAAACTATATAGGTTCCAGGTCGTTGTATCTCATCATCACATCAACAACTCTAAGCCCTTAAAAAGATAATACTATCCATTTTCCCAGCATATCCGGGAGTAAACAGGGAACACATACCCACCATACAGAGGACACAACTTAAAGGACAGATAAACTTCCTTGGGGCAATGAATCTGTAGTAGAACACTAGCTTGTAGATAGATAGGCCGTCCCAATTATCTCTTCTCCCCACTCCCACCCCAAACTAACTCCAATTAATCTTTACATGAACAAAGACAGTTTCTGCTCCATTAATCTAGCTCTCTCTCAAACACAAATAGATTTTTAAAATTCTCTGAGCCTTGTTATTAATATGCCTAAATATAAAACAGCAACAAAAAAATCTGTGACATCAGTCAAGATCTGTCTTCTCTCTTGAACATGTGAAATAAGAGTGTCTTGTTTTTAAGAGAAAAGAAAATTCTATATTTATGTAAGTGCCAAAGAGGGGAGATTATCTTCCATCTTCTAACTATATTTAGACTGGAATAAGGAGACAAATCTCAATTAACTTTAAAAATATAAAAACATTTAAAATTCCTATCTCCTACCTAGCACAGGCAAGTCTTTTGTCTACAAACAGAATCCTATGACCTGAAGTAGAATTTGCATTTGTAAAGATGAAGATGCCTCCAATTCGATGATCCAAAATAAATCATGGATTCCCATACCTGGACTTCATTCCAACATAAAGTTACTTTACTGTCAAATGTGCTCAGAAGTCAAATTATGAAGTTCCCAATGCTCTCTCAGAACTTCCTAAAATCATGTTACATACCCCAGTATAGTTTACTTAAGCACACACGCACCACAAAAGACAGAGTGTCAAAAAGATTATACTTAACTAGAGGCCCGGTGCACTACATTCGTTCACTGGGGTGGGGTCCCTCAGCCCGGCCTGCGCCCTCTGGCAGCCGGGAACCCCTTGCTCCTTACCGCCTGCCTGCTTGCCGCTCCTTACTGCTTGGCTTGCTGCTCCTTAGCACTGCCGCAGAGGTGGGAGAGGCTCCCGCCACCGCCACTGTGCTTGCCAGCCGTGACCCCGGCTTTTAGTTGAGCGGCGCTCCCCCTGTGGGAGTGCACTTACCACCAGGGGGCAGCCCCTGCATTGAGTGTCTGCTCTCTGGTGGTCAGTGTGCATCATAGTGACCAGTCATTCTGGTCATTCCGCCATAATGGTTGCTTAGGCTTTTATTATATAGATCAGTGATGGCGAACCTTTTGAGCTCAGCGTGTCAGCATTTTGAAAAACCCTAACTTAACTCTGGTGCCGTGTCACATATAGAAATTTTTTGATATTTGCAACCATAGTAAAACAAAGACTTATATTTTTGATATTTATTTTATATATTTAAATGCCATTGAACGAAGAAAAATCAACCAAAAAAATGAGTTCACGTGTCACCTCTGACACGCGTTCGCCATCACTGATATAGATAATGGTCTGAAGCATGAAGTTTAGCTAGTCTCGGTGACTAATGAATGGTCTAACTGTATATCCTATTTCCCTGTTAGGATTTTTTCCTTTATATTAAAAAAAAAAAAAAATGGCAGTGCTGCATCCCAGATATGCTAAATATCAGTATCTCCAAGGACGGTGTGCAGAAACTTTTGTTTTTAGTTTGGAAGTAACATATTATTTTGTTGTACAGTCAAGGGTGAATACCACCATGCTAAGCTGTAGGCAAACATCTACACAAGGAAAACGATTATTGATGATGATCGTGAGGAGGATATTGTTACACAAACTCCTCCAAATCACTGAGGCAAAGCTCCACAAGCAGATCACATGTTCACCCACGCAGGCAGGCATCAGATGCAAGACCTCTGTAGGTCTCATAAGGACACACACAGCTTCATGAAAAAAATGAATTTTCCCTTCTCTTACCTATGACACCAAAGGGTTTCATGTCCTGGGTAGGAATCAATAAGATCAGTGGTGAATTCAACTTCTTCCTCTAGAAGATGGGGAATATTTATCCTTGGTTCCTCTGTGGAAGCTGCTGCTGCTTCGTCTTGTGGAAGCAGTAGGGCTGGCTCACTTCTCAAAGGATTTTGCTCCAACACAGAACTGTCTTTCACAGTTTGGCTAGTCAAAGACTTCAGCAAAAACTGGCGGTAGTGAAATCCACTGTGGTCTGAAACGTGCATGGATGCCCAGTGTTTAGTAGAAGATAATTCATCAAGAAGAATCTTGTAGGAAGAAGAAAGAAAGGTGAGACGAGAAACTTCCCAAGTTTTTATTTCTCCATTAATGCCTTGCTTTGATTGTCCTTTTTGTGTGTGTTTTTGACAATGCCATTTCTACCAATATTTTGTATACAGTGTATACACAGTGCTGTTGCTGAATGGAAGCTCAGTAAATGCTAGTTTTGACATTCCCTTATAAAGTAATTGGAAATTTTACACACACACATATATGCTATTGAAAGGAAATATAAATTCAGAGGTTACTTGGATGTAAACTTTCTTTGATATTTAATGAACCTCTACTATATCTAACTTATCACAACAGACTCAATGTAATTATTTGTTCTTCACTATAAATGCCATGAGGGCAAAGACCATGTCTGTTTTGCTCACTACTTAATTCTAAAGGCTTGGTACAAAAACATGACTCATGAGTAACAGTAAATTTCAAGAGTTCATGACTATTACTTACTATTCATCTCAACTCACTTAATATCAATGATAGTTTTTTAAAGGTAGATGAGATGAAATTCAGCAGTGAATTGTTTAAATCTTTGTGCTATCAATCCTGCAAACTAAACAATTTTAAGTGGAATGAAAAAAAAAATCAGCATTTAAGAAAAATTTAATTATTTGGCAGTAACTTGAACAGCAAATGGGTACATTGATCTACCATGTTCCATCAGAGGATTTTTCAGACCAGCTAAGGAAAAGACATACTTGTCAACAGTGAACAATATAGACAACACAATGTCAAAAAGCTCTTTTACCTGTTTTTTAAAGGTTCCAATCAAATGCCTTCTCCTGTACCAAGAGCCCTCTCCACTTCTCACAGTCTCTTTTCTTCCCTAGAAGAAATCTTTTCCTCTTCTGAACCTCCATACTTCTTTTGGGTTTCACCATATACATTATAGAATTTTCTGTGCAACTTTTTTATCCCATCAAACTCTATAAGTTCTTTAAGATCCTTATCTGTCCCTATATCCACTGGCCTCAGAGTGGACATGTAAGTATTCTATGACTGACTGAATAAACAATTTAATAAATGAAGTGACTAGTACTGTTCCTGCTAGGATGGTAAAATTATATCAGTGAAATGTTTTAAATCCTAAAAGAGTTTATTCATAGCCACATAAATTTATTATAGAGGCTACCTCTGGTGAGTCATGAAGAAACAAAAAACAAGACTGTTTATTAGATTTAAAAGGTGAGCAAAATAGAACCAGATAAACTTCTAGCTGAAAAAAACAAAACTAATCTTAAGGTTATTACATTATTGAAGAATTAGGCAGCAGGACATGTAGGCTATAGTACAACAGATTTTAAATGCCAAAGTATTTTCCACAGTGGGTACACCATTTCACATTTGTACCAACAAAGTATAAGGGTTTCAATTTCTCTACATCTTCATCAACACTTGTTATTGTCTGTCTTTTAAATTTTATCCATCCTAGTTGGTGTGAAATGGTATCAAACTGTGGTTTTGATTTGCATTTCCTTAATGGCTCAGGATATTGGACATCTTTTCATGTCTTTATTGGACATCTATTTATCATTCTTGGAGTAATGACCTCTGCTCAACTGTCTTTCCTCCCCCTCCCACCCTAGAAATGAGACTATTTTAAAATTTACCTAACTATATGTTCACTTAAACACACAAACATCACAGGGAACATGAAATAGAAAATTAAAACGTCTCATAACTCCACTCTACAGCATTGATAAACATTTTTTATTCTCTAACTATTTTTGAATAGAAAGCTAACAAATGCTTATTATAGAAAATACAAGAAAATATATCCATAACAGTACTTTGTGTGTGTGTGTGTATGTAATATATATATCTGTTGAACACTTACAATATGCCAGGCACTGTTCTAAACACTTTAAAATCACATTCAATGCTAATAATATATTAAGAAATTATATTAGGGCCCTAACCGGTTTGGCTCAGTGGATAGAGCATCGGCTTGCAGACTGAAGGATCTCAGGTTCGATTCCGGTCAAGGGCATGTACCTTGGTTGTGGGCACATCCCCAGTAGGGAGTGTGCAGGAGGCAGCTGATTGATGTTTCTCTCTCATGGATGTTTCTAACTCTCTATCCCTCTCCCTTCCTCTCTGTAAAAAATCAATAAAATATATTTTTAAAAAAAAGAAATTATATTACGTCCATCTCATATTTAGTTTTATATCCTTAAACTATAATGAACATTTTTCTTATCTTCCAAAATACAATTTTACTAACAACAAAATATTATAACATGTGATAGATTGGACTGTAACTAAACCCTCATTATTGGTGGGTGTGACTAGTTTTTCACAATAATAAACAGTACTTTCATCTATCAAATATCCATACTTAATATAATCAATGTTTGTTGAGTGCTTAGTACAAGCACTTGCGATAGCCACTTTATGTGGATTCTCCCATTTAACTTATATCACTTGATGTAGTAGGAATTTTCATCTTTCCCATTTTATAGATGAGGAAACGGAAGATTAGAGAGGCTAAGACACTCCCTCAAGGGCACACAGCAAATTTATGGCAGTATTCAAATGAGGTCTGCATGACCACTGAGTGGAACCTTTTGCTGCTACACCATGCTGCATCTCCCATTATTTCTTTAGCATGAATTCCTAGAGGCAGAACTGCAGGATTAGACATAACATACTTTTTTTCAGGGAATAAGAGGGTACAGTCTGGTAAATACTGTCATGTTGACCTTCAGTAAGATTATAGCAATTTCTTCAATGCTTGTTCCCATAACCTCATCAATTCTAAGATATCAACACTTTAAGAAATCACTTTGCATTTTCTAGTTAAAATGAAAAAAAGGCCAGTTCATTTTATATGTATTTTTAAGCTGCTCTAGGCTACTGGTACTTTTATGATTACTTTCTCTGACAGAAAAAGGATGATCTCCTTGGTCAATGGCTTATAAGAGCAGAAAGGGGATTTTGCAATGTCAGCACTCTTTACTGAGAGCACAAGACACCACAATGGCAGTGATGACAGGAAAAGCAGTCTCCCCAAGGGCAAAGCTGGCTGACAGCATGTGAGCCTAGGATTATGAGCCTAGCAGTGGACTTAAGCAGCTGAGTCAACACATCGTCTTCAACACCAGATGGTCTCAAGTAACCAAGAATTTCACCTTGGCCCCAAGTTCCTGATTTTGTGAGAATGTCACCATAAAAGGATCATATCTAGGCAGGAAAGCTTCCGAAGACTCCACAGCTCACCTGGACTTGGCCTTCCTCTTTTTCCTTAACTGTCCTCAGCCCTCACACATTACCAAGCTGTGGAGCGAAAGTGACTGGCTCTAAGCACGCAATAGCCCCCTCGACCCACCAGATAACTTGCAATCATTCCTCCAGACTCCCATGAGCCCAGCCTGGATGAGGAGTAATTTCTGTGCTCCCACTGAACCTGCAGCTTCCCCTGGTTCCTGCAAATGTAACATTGCTTTGTAACTGTTGGTATCTGCTTCCTCAACTAGATGTTCAAGTTGTTGAGAACAAGCTCTGTCTTTATACCACAGTGTATGGACAGTGTCTGGGAATGACTGGGTTTCAGTACTATTTCATGAGCAATTGCGGTGAGTTGACCTAGCATTCTGGTAGCCAGTTTCACCTACATTTCCTTTCTGTGGGGAACCGAGAAAAGAACTAAATTTTAGTGAGCCTCTACTATTAGGTGCCCAGTACTTTACACACATTAACTTAAGTAATTTTCATAATAATCCACCAAGGCAGAAAGCAAAGCTCCCGTTTTAAGATGAAAACATTAAAGCCTTACTTTCCACAGACAGCTAGTAGGGCCAGACGCTAAGCCCAGGTCAATTTAATTCTGTCTTAGCTCTTTCCTCTCCATTAGGCATCTCCCCTCCTGAAGAATAGAGCCATATCACCTAGAGAGCAAGGGCTACTCCTATAAAATCGTGGGCCTAAAATCTGCCAGAAGTGAAAACTCTCTTGTTTCTCTTGGAGGAATCTCTATCTTGGAAACAGAGAGGAGAGGGAACCTACGAAAGATGTATAAAGAAGGCAGTGGTGAGTAAAAATTAGAGAACAGTGTCTCTATTAATCTGAAAGCATTTTGATGTCTTTAAATTGTCTCAAGACTGGGAAGCTTTTAGACAAGTACCCTCAATGCTGATGACACTGATATCATAAAAAGGGAAGAAGAAATTAGAATAACTATAGTATGCAAGGAGCAGAAGGATACCTGGTTCTCCCTCTGATGAATAATAAGTAATGCTGTGGCTAAGTCTAAGCCATTAAAATTCTCTGGTAACTTCCATCTCTTTATTTCTAAACTGAAAGGATTAGGCTGTGACAGTTTCCAACCTGGCTTTGCATCCAAATAACCCCTGAGCTTGTGAAACATACTGATCTCTAAATCCTACCCTCATTCCAATTCAGTAGGCCTGGGGTGGCACCTAGGAATCCTCAAGATTTTTATAGACTCAGCCAAGTTGAGGAATACCTGAGTGAAAGCTTGTTTCCTTCCCAAGAGAGACTGAACAGGCAGCCAGCTGACTCAGAAAGTCACATAATCAGAGGCTATCAAGAAAAAAACAATTTCAGTTCTCCAATGCTCCGCAATCCCTTCCGGTTTCGGGGCAAAATGAGTTATGCTCAGTCTTCCTTACTGCTTAAACCTGCCTTTGTTCTGCCAATGCACTAGCCTTAACAGTGCCCAAATATGCTGGTGAGGAATACAACTTTGTTTTAATTGCCAGGACCCCCTGGAGGTATCAGCTGCCGTGATCCTCTCTAGGCTGCTAGGCTGCCATTAGATCCTCTTCTTTCCTCCTTTAAAGCCCCTGAGGAGGAACTGCGACCAGGAGATTTAAAGGGCAGGCATGGAGAGTGCTAGGGAGATGGAAAATCTAAAATCGTTGGCCTAAAATCTGCCAGAAGTGAAAACTCCCCACCTTGACATCTAGCTTGGCCAGGTGTTGTAAAACCCAGATGCGATGGGACCAGGCATTATAGTTGCTTGGGTATCTCCCTGCCGCTTCACCACAGACCTCCATCTCTTCTCGTATTAGTCGCTGTGTCCTTTCTGCAGGAATTGTTCCCAAGTTTCCTTTGGTCACAAAGGAAGGCAAGGAGGTTTCCTGAAGTAGCTGCTGTAGCACCCATCGTCTGGTAGAGTAGCATGTGGGAAAGAGAATGAGGAAAGAACATAAACCAGAGAGAAAAACAAAATTTTCTTGTTCTTAATTTAATTTCCATTCACAGATAATTAAAATAATACTTGTCTATAATCCGTGTGTGTGTGTTTTGGGGGGATGCGGGGGAACTGTTTTTGTTTTAAAGACATAGTTAACTTTAGCAGCATTTAAAAGGAGGAAAGACAAGAGGAAGAAAAATCTTTCTAAAATGTTACAATTTGTCAAAAAGAAAATGCCATCAGTTACAAAATGACAACTCTAAACTCCATTTGAAGATATGTGAAGTCAACTGGTGAGTGAGTGTGTGTGTGTTGTAGTGGTAGTTGGTGGGAGAGCGGATATAATTAATGGCTGGTAAATGCTAGAAGAGGAATCATGGTTCTGTATTTAATTACATACGAATGCCTCACCCTATGTGTATTTGTTTGCAAACTAGAAACTGCATTATGACAGCTTTCATTAAGCAAAATTTCCATATTATAGTAGAATCTAGAGGAAATAAATACATTATAATTAGTGAGACCATCAACGTTTTAAAAGGTCTTTATCTATAGATTTTCCCCTTGTCTATTTTTAAGATTTTCATTTGCATACATTTAAATGAAATTCAACAACGTGTCTCAACCACTTAATGTCTTTAGGTTTTAACAAATATTTTCTCATAAAGCATTATTTTAGATTTAAAAATTTCTAACATTAAAGTACAAAAAATTGAGTAGGAAAACTAATTTTTTCATTTTCAAATAACAGTTTTAATACTTAACAAAACCTTGCTTTATAAAATATTAGCCAAGCCAACAGATTGACCGATGCATATTTAATGATTCCATTCCCCTGCCACCATCCCTTTCCAGACCTCTACACACACAATCATATACCTCTGAAGTCTGCTATCACAATTTCCATTAAGAAAGAAAATACAACTGATTAGATGGTTTGGAGGTAGCTCATTGGCAATGCTAGCCAAAGGCAAAATTATAGCTAAGATATTTTCATCTAACTGTAAGATCATAAAAAAATGCTCAGAATTTAAGCAAAGTTTTAAACAGCTTAATAAACTGAGAACAGACTTCTTCAGAGAATTTTTCCACTGACCCAACCAGCAAGTTCACACCTATCCTTTTAGTCATTACAGTGGTTACATGGAGTTCAAAAGAAACATGTTTCCAGACAGCCAGGATAGTAAAAAGAGTTCTTATGTGCACTTTGGCTATATGCCTCAGGCCTTTAACCTAAAAATATTCTTTGCATTTATGATCTTAGCAACCTTTGCTTACCCATATACCATTCATTTCAGCTGCACTTATTTTCCTTATTTGCTTATTTTTAATAACCATAACCATCACCACCGCCATTTTTACCAAGAACACAACTGAATTAATTATAAAAACGTAAGCTTTCTATTTGAATATCTAAATGCAATTTCCATGACTCCATAAGAATGTTAATAATAATGGTTAAAATTTATTGAGTATTTAATGTGTGCCAGGCACTGTGGTAGTATTTACATGTACTACTCATATAAACTCAGCTATTAACTCTGAGATAGGTGTAATTATTATTCCCATTTTACAAAAAAGAAAACTGAGGCTTGAAGAGGTTAAATAATTTCTAAAAATCACACAGGTAGCAAGTGCTGGCATCAAGATTTAAACATAACTTGACTTTAAAATTCATCCTCTGAACCAGTATGTGACCTGGTTTCACACTCTGTTTTCTCCAGCCATTCTGAATCCTACGTAGGAATCCTAAGATGTAAATTAACCACACCTGTGAATCCATGTTTCTGGACTCTTTGGAAACTTAGTTAAGGCCAGTTTTCCCAGATGTAAATCCTTAATTGGATTTAAAGTGCCAGAGAGGATCAGCTCTTTTCTGTAAAAGAAAAATAAAAAGAACCATTACTTTATCTTTCTATCCAAACATATTGTATGGGTATTAATATAACCTCATTGAGAAGTGAATTTCCAAGAATTTTTGAAAAAAGAAAGAAAACAAAACTCATACATGTCACATACAGTAATCAAGAATGTATTCTCATAATCTTAAAATAACAAATAAAAGCTATAAATCAGTGGTGGACCTTTTAGTTGTCTATTTGGAAGAAGGCCAAGGGGTTTGCAAACCTTACAAGGCCTAACATCAGTATCTGTAGGGCAGCTCCAAAATGAGGCAAGGATTGTCTAGCTTCCTAAGTAGGACTTAATATGGCCTGGTTCATTAACAAAAAAATACACATACAATTAACACAGTATGATTGAGATGTAATCTCAATTACTATTTTTATTTTTGAATTTTCCCTCTACCTTCCCTCATATGCATCTACCATTTAATCCTATCTAATAATAGACAAACATGGTAATTAACCATACCTCCGCTACGCTTCCCATTGACTAATCAGCAGGCTATGCAAATTAACTGCCAACAAAGATGTCGGCTGGCAGCCACACAGTTGAAGCAAACAGGAGGCTTGCTTGCTCCAGTGATGGAGGAAGCCAAGGTTCCCCGCCTGCCGTGGCCCAGCTTTGAGCTCCGGATGCAACAATGTTGCAATTATAGAAGCTAAACAAACCCCAGGTACCTGCTTTCAGCTGGCAGCGGGCTCAGAGCTTAGAGCGCCAGTGATGGCAACAGAGTTTCAATTATAGAAGCTAAACAAACCCAGATACCTGCTTTCAGCCAGCCATGGCCTCAGAGCTGGAGCCGGCTCTCAGCTCTAGTAATAACTATAGAAGGTAAATAAATTCCAGAATAAAAAAAAAGAAAAAAAAAAAAAGAGGCTGAGAGCTTCAGTCGCCTGCCAGCCTGAAAACAGCCCTTAGCCTCTCACCCAGACTGGCCAGGCACACCAGTGGGGACCCCCACCCTGAAGGGGGTGTGACCAGCTGCAAACAGCCATCATCCCCTCACCCAATTTAAAACTAAATTGAAAAATTAAATATAAGACATTTGCTTATTATTTCATGCACATATTGGTATTAGCCTAAAACAATCTTTTTTGGACTTTTTAATAAATTGAGGAAATGGAGTACTGCCTTAATTGAGGTGGCTTTATTTTCACGCATACGGAATAAGCTGTGCTTCTCTATCTATCCTACAAGCATTGGGTGGTAAGCTAACATGGGAAGAAGGAATAAAGTGAGGGTCATCAAATAAATGTGAGGGGAACTAACTAGAAAAGCAAAAGACACCTGTGCTGTTTTGGGAGAAGAGAGCACGGGTGATAAGGAACAGTGCCATGCTACATGGGAAACCGTGTTGTGGGATGAAATTATGTATTTTTTTTTTTTTTAAACAAGGTGGGAGAAAGGAGTAAACTAAGAAATTTTAAGAAACAATACAAGGTAGAATTATAAAAGGAATGAAGTTTTTCACACAGATTTTTCAAGCAATAAAAATTACTCCTTTAAAATTTTTGCTGCATATTTTACTTTCTGATTAAAGAGAATATGGAAAAATCTCATCACTTTCCCTTGAAAACTCTAATTTTTTTGTGATCACTAACTGTTACAAAGACTAGCTAGTGCTGAAGCTAAAAATAATACCCATGGAGCACCCAGGGATTACTAAGGTGAGTGGTGTGCTTTATTCCTCTATATGTTAGTGCATTTTTATACTTCTGCAAAGTTTATCTTAAATTTTTTTTACATTTTTCTCTCTATTGCAAACTATTAGTGATTGCTTCTCTCTGCTGTCATTCTAGTCAAAATTTGTAGGAGACCAGGGGACTTGTCTATGACTAAACCTCCACTGGTTAACTCAGTAATTGGCACATGGTAGATACTGAATAAACAAATGCTACCTTTCCCTCAATCTTCAGTTAGTCTGTCTGAAATGACAGTAAATGGTAATAATAAAAGTCACCCCCATAAAAACTACCATTTATTGAACTTCTCCTGAGTCAGGCACTATGTTAAGTGATTTGCATATATTATCTAATTTAATTCTTACAATATCCTGTAAGTATTATGTTGAACCACGTGAAATGCCAATATTCAATTGTTTTTTGAAATAAACCTTTTATTTTAGAATTCTTTGAAAAATTGACAAAATTTGTAAGCATAGTAAGGAGAATTCCTGCATGCCATTTACCCAGTTTCCTCTATTATTAACATATTATGGTACATTTGTAAAAACTGATGAACCATTATTGACAGGTAACTATTGGAACCATGCTTTTTTTAGAGAATTCCTTAGCTTTTACCAAATGCCCTTTCTCAATTCCAGGGTCCTATCCAGGATAGCATATTACATTCGAGTATTACGTCTCCTTAGGTTCCTCTTGATCCCTCAAGTATACTCGCATATACCTCATTTTTAATGGCCTTGACAGAGTACTGATCAGGTATTTTGTATGTTTTCTCATGGTAAGACTAGGATTATGAGTTTTGAAGAGGAAGAGACCACAGAGGTAAAGTGCCATTTTCATCACATCATATCAGGGGCACATAATCGCACGGCTTGTCATTGTTGATGTTGACCTGGATTACTTGGCTGAGGTAGTGTATACCAGGTTTTCTCCACTGTAATTTTTGGAAATCACACTTGAGTAGGGCATTATACTCCCCTCCTTGACCCCTCAAATTATTCAGACAAATTATTCAGAAATCTTCTATATAGCGAATTGTCTATTGTGTCCTATTTATTTATTTATTCCATCATTTATTGATGTCAGTATGAACTTACAGATATCCATTTTATACTCTGGGGTATAAGCCAATATTATTTTATTATTCAACTTATTCCGGCTTTGGCTCATATTATTTTTGAGCACTTCCTGACTACTTCCTAACTTCCTGGCCCTGTAAAATATTCCAGGCTCATCTTGTATGTTCCCTGCTCTGGTTTTAAAATCAGCCATTTTCCCAAGAAGCCCAGTTCTTTCTATTAGAGACTGGTATTAGAAACCAGGATCTGAATGCTTAGATTTCATCATCTTTGATCTACAAAAACAACAATTTCACATGGTGCAATCTAATATTAACTCAATTTTACAGATGGGGAAACTGAATTAGGGAGAGATTCAATAACATGATCAAGGTCTCCAAGCTCAAAGTGTCAGAACCAAAAATTAGATCCATAAAGTTACCAATTTAAATCAATAGGCCATGAGTAAAGGACCCGAATCACTGGAGCTTGTTGTCAGCTACTCAGCTACTCTAGTTGCTCAAAGATGTTCTGCTTACTCTATTTGCAGACTGTTGGAAAAATAGGACATTATTATGAAGTCAACCTCTTTCATCAAGTAATTCACCAATTTTCAAAGCAAATTCAAAGAAAACTAAACAGGAGAAAAAAAGAGAAGCATCTGTCACTTTTTTCTATAACTAGATGGATTTTTAACCTACATGCATCACTCACTCTAACCTCAGGATATCGGTTCAAAAACTTACTCTTGCCTGTATTTTTTTTCCTAAGACTGAAACACCTAAAAATTTAAGTACCAATGTGCTATACCAGTTTTTAGCAGTTTATAAAATGCAGTCAAAAATCTCCCAATTCTTCCCAGAGTTCCTGCAGAAGAAATACACCAACAATTAAACATAAAATGTTAAGTCTTTGGTTTGCAAAAGATCGTACAGGGTTAGATCAGTTTACTTCCAAAGCTGGTTGTTTTTTCTTCACTATGTATTCATGATTCCACGTCTTCATAAGTCAATCAATCTTACTAATACAAATTAAAATTTACTAGAACAGCCCTAACTGGTTTGGCTCAGTGGATAGAACATCAGCCCTCGGACTGAAGGGTCCCGAATTCAATTCTGGTCAAGGGCATGTACCTTGGTTGTGGGCTCGATCCCTAGTTGAGGGCGTGCAGAAGGCAGCTGATCGATGTTTGTCTCTCATCGATGTTTCTAACTCTCTATCCCTCTCCCTTCCTCTCTGTAAAATCAATAAAATATATATTTTTTAAAAATTTACTAGAACACATATCTACAATGTTTTTTAAAAAAATCAAAATTTCCTTTCTACTCATCTGGCAAAAAACTTTCCCAATAATCTTCCTAGAATAAGTTCAAGATTAACTGCTATTAACATCACTGAAATTATTTTATAGAACAATTTCATTTCATAAGACCAAACCACATATAATAAAAAAAAAAGTCCATTTCAAAAGAATCATAAAAATAATCACCTAATTCAAATCTTTTATTCACAGATATGGAAACTAAATCTCTTGAGAAGTTAATAGGTTTTGTCCAAAGTTGTCTGCTAGTTAAATGATGAAATAGGACTTAAGATTCATATATCTTAAGACTAGGTTCTTTCTCCTCCACTGAATTATATATATGTGTGTATGTACATGTATGTACATACATTATGCTAGTAGGAATTTTTTTTGTTTAAGGATTTTCAATTTCTCTCTAATGAGGAATATGAGAACATGAATAAAAATGGTATTCCCACTTCTCTATTGCCTTCCTTTCTTTTTTACTGCATTTACTTATTTTCAGTGCCCTGACTACCTTACTCAATACCTCCAAAATATTATAATTACAACACATAATCAATATAAAAATTAGTAATAAGATATTTTACTTTAGGGGCACTAAGTCTTCAGAATCTGCTGTAGTTTACACTTACTGCACCTTTCAACTGAGTCACATTTCAAGGGCTCAATAGCCACATATGGCTAGTGGCTACTATGTTGGGCTGTGCAACTCTAGAAAACTGTACTGTAGCAGTGCTCAGTCTTTGGACTGGGTCTCTTTTCTACCTATACCCACTTCTTTGGGTATCTCAAACAATCTCAGGGCTTTAAATACTATCTATTTTCCAGTGATTCCCAAATTAACATCTGGCCTAGAACTCTCACCTGAATTTTAGATTCATACACAACAAGCTAGACACAAACCTACCACCCCAAAATGACTTGCCAACCAGCAGCCCCACCTAAATCTGCTCCTCTTCGAGATGTCCCCTTTTCAGTAAATGGCAACTCCGTCCTTTCAGTTGCTTAGGCCCAAAACCAAAGTCAAACTTCACCCTCTTGATTCTCTCATATCAAATTCATCATCTATGTCTTTAAACCAGATTATTAAATACAGCATAAGCTTATACAGTTTATAAAATAGGTGAGAATCTTATGACTTCTGACTTCCCTGCCGAGCTTGTCTTCAAGTCACCAGTATCTCTTAGCTAAATTATTCTTTCCCTGTTTCATGCTACTCGTTACACTGGACTCCTTGCTGTCCCAGAACACCCAGGGACAATTCAGAGATGACGGGGGGCTTTTTCACTTGCTCTTCTGTCCACTTGGAATGCTCCTACCCCAGAATCCACAAAGACCGATCCCTGATTTCATGCAGTCTTTGCTCTAATGTCTCCTATTTCGCACTGCAATACCACTCTTTCTTTTCTCTTTCTGGCCTTCCCTATTCTTTTCCCAGCTTCTCCCCATAGGATTTGCCAACACATGATCTAGTATATATTTTACTTGTGAATGTCCTTATTGCTTTTCTTATTATTATTAGAATAAAAATTTCACAAGGACAGGGATTTTTGTTTGTTTTATTCTTGGTTTTATTCCTAGTGCCTACAACCTAGCACACAGTAATTATCAATCAATATTTGATGAATGAAAAAAAAAGTTGTCAAGAATTGTGTGGATTAAATAAGATAATGTATAAAGTTGTAGTATGGTCCTTAGAATATAGTAGCCACTCATAAATATTAGTCTATTCCCTACTGCTGTGGTACTTTCCATAAAAGAAAATGAGAATTATAAAATTACATATATTTTGCCGAAACCGGTTTGGCTCAGTGGATAGAGCGTCGGCCTGCGGACTGAAAGGTCCCAGGTTCGATTCCGGTCAAGGGCATGTACCTGGGTTGCGGGCACATCCCCAGTAGGAGATGTGCAGGAGGCAGCTGATCGATGTTTCTCTCTCATCGATGTTTCTAACTCTCTCTCTCTCTCCCTTCCTCTCTGTAAAAAATCAATAAAATATATATTTTAAAAAAAAAATTACATATATTTTGAAGCTATATAACTCACTCTTTATATCTGATCATTAATTATTCAAAAGACAATTTAAAAAAGACATACGTAAAAGTTACCTAAAATTTAAAAAATCAGTTAAATACAAAATTCAGCAGGTATTAAAAAATACTAACTCAGAATATAACCTTGCTTAAAATTCACAGAAAATTAAATGAAGACGCTGGCCAGTTTGGCTCAGTGGATAGAGCATCGGCCTGCAGACCAAAGGGTCCCAGATTCAATTCTGGTCAAGGGCACATACCTTGGTTGCAGGCTCCTCTCCAGCCCAGGCCTCATGCAAGAGGCAACCAATCAATGTGTTTTGCTCACATCGACGTTTCTCTCTGTCTTTCCCTCTCTCTTCCACTCTCCCTAAAAATAAAAAATCAATGGAAGAATATCCTCGGGTGAGGATTAACAAAAAAAATAAAAATAAATGAAGTATTATTTAAGTAACCTTTAAAGATAAAAAGTTATAATCCATGGCTTTTCTCTATAGAAAAATTAAAATGTATTCACAATGTTCATTGAGACTTCACTTTTATTTATCTACTAGAGTCCCGATGCACAAAATTTGTGCAAGGGGCTTGGATCCTGCTGCCATGGCAGCTGCCTCGGGCCCCACCCACCATGGCGGCCGCCTCTGCCTCAGCCCTTGCAGCCCCGGCTTCACACAGAAGGTCGTCTGGAAGGACGTCTGGTCTAATTAGCATATCATGCTTTTATTATATAGGATAATTTGGTTTTTTTGGTTTTTTTAAAAAATATATTTTATTGATTTTTTACAGAGAGGAAGGGAGAGAGATAGAGAGTCAGAAACATCGATGAGAGAGAGAAACATCGACCAGCCACCTCCTGCACATCTCCCACCGGGGATGTGCCGGCAACCCAGGTACATGCCCTTGACCGGAATCGAACCTGGGACCTTTCAGTCAGCAGGCCGAGGCTCTATCCACTGAGCCAAACCGGTTTCGGCTATATAGGATAATTTGTATCCTGCCTTCCTCTTAAGAGATTTGTGTTAGTCTAAGGAACCACCAGTTTTTAAAAACCATATATATTGAAAAACATGAGCCTGGTCTGAATTGTAATAGTTCAATCAAGTATTTGTGTTCAAAGCTACAATAATAGAATTAAAGATATCAATAAAATATGACCTCTCTCTAAAACACTGAGTGCCAGAGTCTGCAGGTGACTTGCCCACAGAGGTCCCAATGTTAGTGACTAAACTGAGATTACAAGTTTGTGGCCTTGAATGCTCACCCCACACACTGTAATGCTTCTCAAATATACTAACCAAGGTCTTACTCATCAACCAACTATGCTGATTGCCCCTACCTCTCTTAAAAAGAAAGGAAAATAAAAGCAGATATCAAATGGTATACTGTAATTCAACATGATGATTTATATTTCAGGAAAGAAGTTTACAGAGAACAGACATAAATATGCAAAAAGGGGCAAAGTGTATGTTAAAATTTTCATGGGCTTATTATAAAGAACGAGTAGAAGATGCCACGGACAAATGGTTTATATTTCATTTTTCAAAAAGCTAACAACTCTGGAGCTTGTATGTCTTCAGAAATTTGGACAACTTCATTTTATCACTGATAAGAACGACATACCTCACATTCCATGCCGTGGTGAAGTCTGGGTTTAGAAGCAGCAGGGTGCGTGTGACATCTATCAGTTCTAAAATAAAGAGAAGTCATATTAAAAACAAATAGTCCTATCCTTTAAAGCTCAGCTTCTCTTTAAGGTCTTTATTTTATTTTATTTTATATAGAAATATATGCTCACATTATACTGACATATAGATCTCATGTCACAGTAATTTTAATGATAGCTATACCTTGTTCTAAGCCAGTGATGGCGAACCTTTTGAGCTCGGCGTGTCAGCATTTTGAAAAACCCTAACTTAACTCTGGGTCCGTGTCACATATAGACATTTTTTGATATTTGCAACAATAGTAAAACAAAGATTTATATTTTTGATATTTATTTTATATATTTAAATGCCATTTAACAAAGAAAAATCAACCAAAAAAATGAGTTCACGTGTCACCTCTGACATGTGTGTCATAGGTTCGCCATCACTGTCTAAGCCAGCCGTGGGCAAACTACGGCCCGCGGGCCGGATCCGGCCCGTTCGGCTGTCCTATCCGGCCCGCGGAGCCGAAAGAGCAGAGGGTTCTCTTGCTCTCCCCTCCGCCCCTTCACCAGCAGCAGTGTTAACATGGCAACGTCGGGAAACACGGCCACAGCTCCTTCTTCTGAGTCCAGTTTAAGAACCCACTGTGGCCCTCGAGTCAAAAAGTTTGCCCACCCCTGGTCTAAGCTGTCAGGGATAAGGAGATTATCCTCAAGATTTTCTTCTACTTATGATAAGTATAACTCTTTCTTAAAAGTTGACATTGAAATAACTTTATAATACAATATGCCTGTAAAGAATAATCAAATCAACCTCTTCATTCTCTTAGTAGTTTTTGGTACTAATTTAATATTTACTAAAGAAGAGAAACACTTCTATACCACTATTCATTTAATTCCACAAATATTTCAAGAATTGACTGCAAATTTTCAAAAGAAAAAAATAATCACTCATAATCAACTAATTTAACACAATTCATTCACATTCCCCTTTGAAGACTATCCTTTGTTACACACATTTTTACATAATTATAGCAATGATATACAGTTTTGTTATATATTTTTCATTCAACATTATTACATATGCATTCTCCTACATTGCTACAGTATGCATTTTTAACAGCTGTGAAACAATCCCATAGTTTAATATGCTATCATTTATCTTATTCTTTAGGGTGTTTCCTGTTTGCTTTTATTGTTATAGATAATATTATTAAAATATTTTAATACACATTTTTTGTCTGGTAGATTATTTTCTGTGGATATTCTTCTAGGAGTAGAACTACTGTCAAACAATACAAATACCAGCAAGGCTCCTACTAAACATTTCCAAATTGTCTTCCAAATGTACTGTATCTATTTATATAACATGAATGTACTTAAGTCCCTGTAACTCCAATCTATATAATTATACTAAAAAAATGAATGTGGTAAATAAAAAATTATACTTTGATTCTGTTTTAATTTATATATTTAATTTCCAATCACTAATATGAACTTTTTTTCATTGTTTACTATTTTCATCTTATGAACAGCCTATTCATATTTACTAGATTTTTGTCTATCATGGTCTTGACATAATTCTTATATTTTCAAGTAAGCTCCATAAGCCTATATTTAATAGAATGAAATCAGTAATATTTAGATATACTGTCTTCATTTTACTAAAACTGAAAAGAGAATTTTAGGATTAAGTTGATCAAGCTAGGGCATTATACTAAATTAATGAAACATATACCAAGCTCATATTAAATGCTAAGTAAATAAAATAAGAAAACTGGCCCTAACCAGTTTGGCTCAGTTGATAGAGCGTCGGCCTGCGGACTGAAGGGTCCCAGGTTCGATTACTGTCAAGGGCATGTACCTTGGTTGCGGGCACATCCCCAGTAGGGGGTGTGCAGGAGGCAGCTGATCATGTTTCTCTCTCATCAATGTTTCTCTCTATCCCTCTCCCTTCCTCTCTGTGAAAAATCAATAAAATATATTTTTTTTTAAAATTAGAAAACTGGTATAATTATTTAGCATTATTGTGTACCAGGCAAAATTACTCTCTTTACATTATTTAAAATTCTCACAATCACGATCCAAGATATTCTTTTTTTTTTTTTCCCCAAGATATTCTTGTTTCACTTTACAGACAGGTAAAGTGATATTTAGAGAAGTTAAGCATTTTGCCTATAGTGTCTCAATTAATGTGTGGCAAGATCAGCATATGACAGCTTTAAATAACTTAATTATACTACAATTGAAATATCTGTCTATAATAAATAATTGGGACATTCTCAGTGTTTAAGAAAAAGAAATTTTTTAAATCTAAAAACAAGCACACATATATGCATCCCTACAGTCATTTTAAAATACTCTACCAAAAAACAATCATTCCATTCTCAACCACCTCAATAAGAGATTAACATTTATTGTGAGCTTATGATTTCTTTACTAATGAATATATTATAACACTTTATAAATGAGAAACAAAAGGTAGGATAAGAACACATTTATTTTCTACCATATCTTTATTACAAGCATTACATGTATAAACACAATCCTATATCAAAAAAGGCTTATATGCAAATCGACCGAATGGCAGAACAACTGGTCGCTATGATGCGCACTGACCACCAGGGGGCAGATGCTCAACACAGGAGCGTCTCATGGCTGGCAAGTGCAGCAGCAGTGGCAGGAGCCTCTCCTACCTCTGCTGCAGGCAGGCAGTAAGGAGTGAGGGGTCCTGGACTGCGAGAGGGATGTCTGACTGCTGGCTTAGGCCCAGTCCCCAGGGGAATCCCTGGGGAAATCTCCAGGGATCGGGCCTAAGTTGGCAGGCGGACATCCCCCAAGGGGTCCCGGACTGCAAGAGGGCACAAATGTCCCGTCCCACCCCCCCACCCCCCCACCCCCGTGCATAAATGTCGTGCACAGGGCCTTTAGTATAACTATAAAGAATAATTTAACCTCTTCCTTCTTTTACTTTTAGTAGTTTTTGGCATTAATTTAACATTTATCAGGGAAAATAAATATAAATTACAATACCATTATTTATTTAATTCCACAAATATTTTAATTATTGACTATGTACAAAGATTAAACTGGGCCCTTAGAACTGAAAGAATGGATATAATGATAAATATGACCTCATCTTGCTCTCCAGAAGATTACCCTTTAGTTGGAGAGAAATGTAAACAATTATGTAAAGTAAAATGAAATAAATGTGAACTAGAAATATATGCTACATTTTAGGGATCACCAAAACTGCTGCAATTAATTCTTACTGGAGTACCCAGGGAAGGCTATCAATGAATCAGATGAATAAGGCAGTAAATGGCATTATAGACCATGGGGAAAAAATGTTTGGCTCAGTGGATAGAGCATCGGCCTGCAGACTGAAGGGTCCTGGGTTTGATTCTGGTCAAGGGCACATGCCAGGTTGTGGGCTCAATCCCCAATGTGGGGTGTGCAGAAGGCAGTTGATCAATGATTCTCTCTCATCAATGATGTTTCTCTCCCTCTCTCTTCCTCTCTGAAATCAAAAAATATATATATATTTTTTAAATGTGAGCAAAGTTTGTAAAGAGGCATGAAACTCCACATATAGTATACTCTCAAATGGTTATGGTACCATAGCATGACTAGAGAGGGGACGGGGTATTGAAGAAATGTACCAAGAATCTAGAACCTGGTCCCAGTCTCCCTGTCAGCCTGGCCTTCCACTGCTTGCTCTTCAAGTGCTACACTCCTCCTGGACCAAACCCCACCATTCACTAAACACCTTGTACCTGCCTACCTTCTCCTCTCTGGGTATAACTCAGAGTTACCTCCTTGCTATTCTCTCTGCCAGAAATGCCCTCCTATCTCTGAAAAATATATATATATTTTTTTCTTTATTGATTTCAGAGAGGAAGGAAGAGGGAGAGAGAGATAGAAACATCAATGATGAGAGAGAATCATCGATTGGCTGCCTCCTGCATGCCCCTGACTGGGGATCGAGCCTGCAACCTGGGCATGTGCCCTTGGCTGGAATCAAACCTGGGACCCTTCAGTATACAGGCCGACGTTCTATCCACTGAGCCAAACTGGCTAGGGCTGAAAAAAATATTTTTTAAAGCATCTTTCTTCCTAAAGACTTTCCTGACCTACCTGGCTGGAAGCAATCTTTCATCTCTATGTTCTGTGTGCATCTTACTTTGTTATTGATCTTGATAAATATTATCCTCTTAATGAGACTGTAAGTTTTTTGGAGGCAGGTCCTCTCTAATACATCTTCAAATTACTCATTTACTCAACATAAATGAGAAAAATATGGTCTCTGCCTGGGTTCAAATCTCAGTTTTTCCACTTACTGTCTAGATAACACCTTTGAACATCAGTTTCCTTATCTGTGAAATGGTGATAACATCAACCTCAGTGTTGTGAGCAATTAGATTCATTCCCTATCGCCACAGCTGTTTGACAGTGGATACTCGATAAATGTTTGTTCATCTAAATACCTTTGTTCCTTATCAAAAAATGAAAAATTTTTGCCCTAGCCAGTTTGGCTCAGCAGATAAAGCATCGGCCTGCAGACCAAAGGGCCCAGGTTTGATTCCAGTCAAGGGCACGTACCTTGGTTGCAAACTCCTCCCCAGCCCAGGCTCTGGTCAGGGCTCATGCAGGAGGAAACCAATCAATGTGTTTCTCTCTCTGTCTTTCCCTCTCTCTTCCACTCTCCCTAAAAATCAATGGAAAAACATCCTCAGGTGAGGATTAACAAAAAAAAAAAAAAAAAGAAAATTTTTAACACGAATTTATCAAAGATGTAATCATGAGGCAGATGTTCCTATAGTGAAACTGTCTAAATTTCTAAACTTGTAAAATAAACAACAAAAAACACACCTGGTTGTTAAGTAACTATATAAAAACATTTGTATATGATGGGAAGGTCTCTAGTATTTCTTTTGAAGTCTATAATTTTTCAATCCTATCCACATAAACTGTTATTTTGTTTCTTGGACTTTCCTTTCTGTATTAAAAAAAAAAAAGAAGAAGTGTGACTCAGGGTTGTG